TCCTCAGGAGATTAAAATTGTTTTTAATATACCGATATGTCTTTTGTAAGGGATCTCTCTGATTGCCAAGATAACAAACCTTATTAAAAACAAGAACACTGACATTTCAACTCATGCGGCGTTTGTGCTGTTTATACAGTGATTATAAGATTCGCTACAGACAGGCAGATGGTTTTAAAAATAACATTTCATTAACTTAATTGAGATGGATCTGATAGTTATGTTTGTTACAAGGTTGATGACAACTCAGTCTGTCAATAAGATTTAAAAGAAGAAAGAGCCATACTTCAATTTAGATCAAAAGGAAATAAAAAAGAGAAAGAGAAAAAGTTTTAATTATTGATCTGATGAAGAAAATAACAACCCGACGCGGTTTGCATTATTTGTTTTGATTTCATTCATCCTTGATTGACATCGCTTTGGCCGGTCAAACATTCGCTCTTTTTGACTAAAATGCGGGACAATTTACTCAATAAAGCACTTCGCTGGATACTTTTTTTCCTCAGGAAAGGATAATCGGTAATCTGCAGACACCGAACAATAGACAAAGTGGTTGTAACGCCTTCCTCAGCAACCAAAACGAAGAAAGGTTTATCGAACAAATATTGATTTAAAGATCGGCACGATTTGCATACCTCCCTATTGTCTTGAGACACGTAAACTATCAGCGGAAATGATGCTGTTGGAAAAAATAACTTTGGGAAGATTCTAACAGCGATTGCTCAACCCGGTGAAAGGGATGTTCATCGTACAAACATTTTTCAATCAATAGCACAAAAAAAAAAAATTATGAAAAAAAAAAAAAAATCTTAGAGACATAAGTTCAGCTAATACATGGCTTCGGTTGCCAAAGAGTCCTCAGCAGCTAAGCTTAATTTGTCACGCATTTGAGCAGCGATGAAATGATGAGGTCCCCGGCTGGAACACTTACAGAAGCTCTCTGGTTTTTTCTTGTTTTTTGATTTCTCATATTTTTCTGTACGTGGTACGTTTGTGAGGAACGTTTGACATTTTTCGTCGTCTCCGGGGCAGTTAGAAATCGACCATCGAGAAAATCATCTTTTTCCCTTTCGATAAAATGTCTGGTGCTGTGCATTTTCAAATTAATGAGGTTGTCCTGCTGCACAACTGTATTGGCATCTATTAGATGCCGATCAGAGAAACTTCAAACATAGAGTTTTGAAGTAGATTGTAAAAGTTGCTATTTAGGAAACGACTTGAAACACTCTTTTACCCTTACGTTTTCCTCCTGGAAAAAAAGTGCACGATCCCAACTCACCTCTTAACATGAAAAGAATAATACCGATTGCCATCACATGGGAAGCACAGGATCTCTTCATCTTTACCGTCGCCATTACAACAAAAGTGAGCTTGTTATAGACGAAAGTTTCGACAAAGATTTTCTTCAAAATGGCGGTTTGGGATTGCGTGAATGGCGCTCACGTTGGGAAATATCTGCACCTTGCAGAGATGATCTGCGGGTTTCCAAGGCCTCTTTACACTACAGGGACTGTCAAAATAATTACCTGACAGCTTTTGTTTGTTGTCAATAATTCCTTAAATTTCTAAGGGTTGAGTTATTTTCACCAGCCCACAGTTCTTCACGTATCAGATTTGATGTGATTCTTTTTTTTTTTTTTTAATGGACTTAACCTTCTACTCTTGCTTAACTTGTAAGTCTCGATTCGTTACTTATCATCTACAAACAAAAATGATATTTTTCCTATAAATTATTTGTGACTTAATTTCAATAGAAACGTTAGGCTGAAAGATGAACTATTTCAATATTTACTGAGGTTTGTTTAAAAAGTCTACGATAAAATCAAAAGCTGAGTGGAGCGGGTAGGAGTGAATTAAATTGTCCTGCACAAACTTAATTGAACGATGTTCATGGTGTTATGTGTTCAGTCAGTTTTGGTCGTGTTCGCGGAAAGAGTTTTGTTCAAAATACTGTCAAATAGAAAGATATGTTAATACATGAATCTACAGGGGTGAAAACAAACACACAAAAAAGCCATGAATAGGTAGAAAAAAGCAAGGATTAATGAAGATGCCACAGACTACGTTGAATTGAAAATGACAAAGTTGAGAAATGAAGGTTTGAAGGTTCAAACCATACCAGTTTCTTCAGAGTGTGTTAAGAAAGTAACTCAAGCTGAGAGGAGTGTACTTAGAAAAGTTTAACTAAGTGATGCGACATCCTGTCAAATTTACAAGTGCGAAGTGTCGACTGAAAAATTGAAAGCCACGTACCAATTTCTTCATGCATTCAAGAGGCGCGCTCCGCGCTAATTTACTAAATGAACAAAGTTGAACAAAGGATCTCATTTATCAGGTATTGGTATAATTTTGTTACTTATATCTTTGAAGGCGACTTTCTTAACAAAAACTGAATCATCCTTAGCTGTGTATACTGTTGTATAACGAGCTGAATTTTGAAAATTTCTTACGGATATAAATCACTTATTTCGACGTTATTTCCTACGTTTCTTTCCGTTTGAAAAGACCATGTTCTTGCATACGTGATCGAGTAAAGGAGCTTTCACTTAATTCTGGAAACGACTGTTTGGATGGTTCTCACGAATATGAACAATGATATAACTGGCGGTGACATCTAGTGGAAATCAATTAACCGGCCCGTTGTAGGACAAACCGGCATGCAAATTAGATCAACGCGTTTTCTAGACCGTAATAGTTTTTACTTGCGACGGAGAAGGGCTCGGGTCGTAGTAAGTGTCGTAAGATCACTACCAACCAACTGAAGATCGTAAATCAGAGTTGTAAGAGTTGTCATGTGAAGCTTGACGAAATTAGAGTCAGGAGAATCCGAACGGTGCTACTGTTTTCATCCGAATTTGCCTATGAGTAAGGCGCTTATGATCGAGTCAACAAATAGATTCATCCAGTGTTGCCATACAACTGTTCTGTAATAGATTACAGGTGACGTCAAAATGCGGCAAGAACAAAAAATGGCAGAGGAAGCGCGCCCGAGTATGTCCGCACTGTTGTTCTTATCACATTTCGACGTCTTATGTGATCCATTAATTACGGTACAGACTCGTGGCAACATGGAATCTATTTGTTTTGTATGATAACAAAGCGAAATGTTGTTTAGTGGTGACGTCATCTATACGTCTGTCCTCTAATAGATCGTAAGTGATAACCAATCAGAATAGGTGTCAGCTGTCATAAAATGAAAATTAGATGATTGGAGTTGCGAGTAGAAGCAGAAGAATCAATCAATGACCATGTAAGTCTTTAGGCCATACTATCGCCCACGACTCCAGCAATTTTTCCTTCATAGATCACAGGCGACGGAGTCACGAGCGGCATCGGTACGGCTACTTTCAATTTCATTGACGGCTGTTCACAGGTTAAAACAAATGTTGTACTCATTGACACGACGGGCAGCAATAATCTTAAAAGTAAACACAAAATTTCACAGGTACATGTCAGATATTTCCTAGGCGCCAACTTACTCAAACTTACACTCAACCTGATGAAACTTGCAACAGACAAATTCACTCTCAAACTGATGCTATTTAAGATGGTTTCTCTTATCATACCACGATTATAAAAACTTGATAATCAAACAGTTCTAGACACTTAGTCACAGCCCCTCCCGTAAAAAAGGAATAATTCATTTAGGACGTGAAACCTTCCGATTCGCTAGGTAAATTCCATTGTCCTAAATTTTTATCAGCATTGAGAATTTTTTTAAGCTCCAGATAATGTTTTTTAGAATTTTGCTTAGAAACTAAATAATTTTTTCCCTGGACACATTTATAACCTCATTTGCAGCCACGCTCTCTCACGAAAGATAATTTTTTTCCATTCTGTTTTGTTTTTGTCTTTTTTTTTTTTTGCATTAAAAGATTATGCCTAAGGGCACAAAGAGGAAAAGATAGGGTTTCAAGCACCTGCAAAAACCTACATAAGAAAGAAAGAAAGAAAAATCAACAAAAAGTGTTGATGAAGTTGCAGTTTTAACCATCAGCCCTGAAGGTTGTTAATGTCTAGCTCACGGTTAAAAATCATGCATTATGAAGCAAAGCCCGCAAGAACTAAAAGGCGAGGTAAGATGTCTGGTCGAAAATTGCTCAAAGGGTTGAACGCTTTTAGGCAAAGTATGAATATAAAAAGCCATGTTTTTGTTTGAGCAGCAAAAAGCTTGAAGGAAGAGGCTTTACAAGTAGATGAACGTGTACCAAAGAATACTAAAGGATACATTAAGAATAAATAGTCTGTAATAACTACTAGTTGTGCGAATGGAAAAATGACTCAACAAAGGGATGAACGCTTCTAGGCAAAGCAACGAATATAAACAGCTATGTTTTGGTTTGACGAGAAAAGTGCTTAAGGCTACTGGTACTACAAATAAACGAAAGCCTTTGTAAATAACTAATTACAAGGGCATAATTCCCATTTAGCACCGACAATATGTTTTCAACCAGTGCCAGGTGAAGTTAGAAAATTTTGCAATGCTTCACAAACTCTCCGAGACAGTTCTAAGAAAATTAAATTGTTTCGTTGTTCACCTGCCTTCTTTGGCCGTAAAGCGAGATTACGAAGGAGTTTATTTAGTACCCATATCCCTCTCCACCCGATTTTCAACCGAGTGAGATGTTGGCACTAGATAGGAAAGGTGGAAAAAAACATTTTAAAAAAAGTCAAGGCACGAAACATCTGCGTGCCCCGAAAGAATAAATGTTTCAAAACAAAAGCTGTGACAGAACCATTAGCATCGTTAATAAATATATTATGCAACCTGTAAGAAAAACATTTTCAGACTGACAGAACGTAACCACATGTAGCTTCAACAAGTTGAAGTAAGGTCTAAACAATTTATTTCTCCAGGTCAAATTGACACTTCTAGCTGCTTTATCGCCAAAACGCCGTGATGGCTTTCAAAGACATATCAGTGAAAATTGCAAGCCATGTGGTAATAATGACAATACTTGCTGCTACAGTTTGGATGTCAGGTAAGGTGTAGCGGTGTTTCAATGACTCTGCGGTTCAATTCGCCGTTCGATAGACTTTCGCCGTTCTGTTTAACTTGAAAAACAACCGTCGATTTTGTGGCTGAATTCAAATATGTGTTCCTCGGTACATTTCATACTGCTTCCATGAAAAGGAATTATTATTATTGTTTATCTACGATCTATTCAGCGCGTGAAATCTCGGTGAAATTGAGCTCTTGGGAAGATAACTTTGGCCTTATACTGAACAGAGCTTAGGGCAATAGAACTTGATGATCGCATGAATCTTAACTAGTTCAAACCATTACTCTTAATTCAACTTAAAACCAAACCACCCTTAAAAACATCAAACAGTTATTAAAACAGGGTCTGCCAGGTGGATATTACTTAACATATTCAAATAAATTGGATTCATTGAGTGAACTTGATAAAAACGTCCTCTCGATTATTATTAACTTGATCTAACTTTGTATTAACGAGGATATTATTAATCTTTGAAACCCTCCTCGTCTACTACATCATGCAGCCATGACTGTCGGAATGTGAGCCCATCGTTGTTCTCTTAAACCCTGAATGCTAGGGTCATAATATAAACGAGACGAAAATCAAAATTACCAGTTCCGTTTTGGTCGTTAGTCACGTAGTTGTTTTCGAAGTGATGTCTCACTAAGCTTGAAAAAGACAATTTCTACGAGTCAGATGAATTGTAATTTTTCTTCGTTACAACTAATTTACCTTAAAATCTTTACTTCAGTAGGTATCCTCGAGCTAATTTTTGTCGAATTTAATAAAAACTTAAAAACTGTCTGCAGACATCTTTTTATGACTGACGTTAGTAGATTAAACTATTTTACACATCTGATCGCGTGAGATATTGTAGCTATTTTCTTCGTACTCACAAGTACGCGTTTAATAATGCCTGAGCAATTTTGTTAGTTAAATGAAAAAGGGTCTGAATAATTGATAGGGCTTAATTTGTTATGGAATCAGTTGTTTCCACCTTTAGTCAAAAACAGGCCATCGATTGACTTCAAGAAATCAATATTCTACCCTTTTGAGTCTTTCCCAAGTCTATCATGACTATAACATAATGGAAATTATCTTATCATGTAAATTGCAATTTCAATGAACCAACCAAGACATTTTTATTGTATGTCTGTATGTGGAATCTTCACGACGGTCTAAGAAATTTGTAGCCCAAATGGACGTTAAAAGGTAAAAATATGCCTTCAGGAAATGAAGATAATTTTTCATTTATTAAAATTTATTTGGACTTCATCTGAAGTCTCGTCTGCTATCTACAACAATTTTTGCAATGACGTAATGTTCAATTTTGTAAAATGTAGTGGAGACCAGTTTTGTGTACTGCATAGTGGGCCCAATTTATACTTACAGTCACAAGATCATAGTTTTACTTTACAACAACGACAACAACATTTATTTATTCTAATTTCTAATGACTAATGACTATTTTAACAAATTGGGCATGCCCACAGGTAGCTAGCTAATCTAGGTGGGTCATGTCTTAACTAAGAAAAAAAGTTGGTATACAAGTTTACAGAAATCAGGAAGCCCATTCTAACAAGGATTCTGATTGGCTTATTGTAAGCGTGCTCTGTCAGAGTATAGAGCATGCTGACGACACTGTTGTTCGCTTTGAAAATAAAGTTTGTTTGGAAATTGCAAGGAATGTGTGAGGAATGTAACGGATTCTTTATTATAAAACAAATAGAGAAGCCTTGACTGTGCTCTGTTCTGTAGTAAAGCACTTAGGAAGCAGCTTGAGCGCTCAAGAAGGGGAACAGTCAAGGCTTCTCTATTTGTTAAATAAGTTTCAAAGAGCTTAAGATGTCTTTACTGGTAGCGAGTGGCCGATAACGGTAATTTTTTTTTTTGTCGCATGAATCATTTATATTGTGCCAATATTTCAAGTTGTTTCGTCACGTCCCGAAATAGCGCTCTGAATGTTGTGGTTACACTATTTGGATAGTCAGATATAATGAAATATATGAAGTTCATATATTTTGAACTGCGGTATTAGATACATATAATGCACGATCCTACTGTTAGGAATCCTATCGCGCTATAATCCTATAGCGCTATCTACTGCGAGGATCGTGCATCATATGTATTTGGATAGTGTTTGTGTGTGTGAATAATAAAAAATCATTCGTTTTCAAAAAAGTACTTTTCTGGCGAAAGTGCAATTTTGGAAGAGATGTTTCTGATCATACCTCGATCTAAATTTCCCTCATTCTTTTAAGGCAGTGAAGTATAACATATTATTTCCTTTCAGCGCATTGCGTATTGATAAGGGAATTTAATTCCTCAAACCAATCTGTGGTTTGTATATAGAGAGCAATGTTTGCAAAGAAAATACTCATATATTTAACGGAGAGAATCAGAGGCGGCCCAGGCTCTGTTACAGGCTCTGTCACAGGCTCTTTCACAGTGGATTATTATAGAGTTTGTATAGTGGTTTAGTTGGACTTGCTTTTGAGCACCGTAAATATAAAGTTGTGTGAAATAATAAAGGAAATAAAGTCTTACCTTCATACAGAGTAGTCTGTGCTGTTCTTGTCGCGATTCGAGGCCGTTTGGCTGTGTTTCAGCTCAACGTCCTAGCACGACCAGGACGTTGAGTTGAAACGGGTTTTGCTAAAAGCAGGCCCGCGGCCCAGCGGCCCGCGGCCTTCGGCCCGCGACGGCCCAACGGCCTGGCAGGCCGAAGGCCCAGCGGCCCGCAATGGCCTGCGACCCGGAGGCCCGGTGGCCCGGTCGCCCAGTCCTGATTTTCCACAATTTTTTTGTCCGGCAGTAAATCCAAACTCAAGCACAGATCTGCATCGGGTTTGGGCGTGCGAAACGGACGACAGTGAGTTTGAATTCGTTTACCATTTAATCATTTGAATCCATGTTTCTGTTTGTTGTTCAGATAAAATCGTTTTGATTCTCTGTTCATTATACTCTCTACAGAAACCGATAGCACGATAGAGGACTTTCATTATCCAACAATGAAAGTTATTTTCAAACCATACTTTGAAAGTGAAAATATCTTAAGTAATGCGATATGTGAACTGCAAATCTTTCCTATACAGAGACATGTAGATTATTTTACAGGAACTCCACCCCAAAAGGAAAGTGTGGTCTCAAACATTGCTTTCCGGCGATGTAAGTACCGTATTTATTCGAATATGACACAGGCAGCCCAAGCTCACTACTAGAAAAGCGGACGTGACTCTTACAGTGTTGCGCAACGCTTTATATTTATAAAGGTTTGTATGGGATGTTATCGGTTTGCCTTAAAAGAGAGAAAAAAATTTTTTTTCTCTCTTTTAAGGCAAACCGATAACATCCCATATAAACCTTTATAAATATAAAACGTTGCGCAACACTGTAAGAGTCACGTCCGCTTTTCTAGTAGTGAGCTTGGGCTGCCTGTGAATACGATAAGGGCCCTGGGCGCTTATTAAATTAATGGTCCTCAAGGGCGGTGGGCCCTAATTCGAGGCTGGGCACTTCTTAAATTTGCACCATTTTTAGCAGGTAGTAGAATTTTAACTGTTCATTGAAAGTTTTTATAAATTACCAATGACAAGCAAATCGAAGTTGTTTCATCTGCAAGGTTGTCAGGAGTGATAGTCTCGGACAACCTCAGGTGGAACGCACATGTGGAATCTATATGCAAAAAGGCTGCGAAGCGTCTGTACTTCCTAAAACAGCTAAAGTGCGCTAAAGTTCCACCAGAGGATATGCTACTTTTCTATACAACATGTATACGCCCTGTATTAGAATATGCGTGCCCAGTTTTTTTTATCATTCTTTGCCGCAATATCTGTCTAATGAAATGGAAAGGTTGCAAAAACGCGCGTTGGGGATGATTCAACCTGATTTATCCTACGCTGAGGCTCTAGTAGCTCTTGACATTGCGTCACTGTACGAGAGGAGGGAGATCTTGTGTGATGCTCTATTTTGATCAGTTTGTAAGGGACGAAAACCACAAGCTCCATGATCTGCTGCCTCCACGCAACGAGTCCAGCTATTGCACCTGCAGCCAGACATACTTCAAGCTACCGATTTGTAAGACAAATAGGTTCAAAAACACATTTATCATGGCGAACAGTTTTAATTATTAGTAGCTATCTTAACTATTTCTATTTTGGTTTTTGATACTTCTCTCATTGTATTTTATTGTAGATTACACTTTGTGGCTTTTATTGTAGTTATCTTAGAGTAAGAGATAATTTATTCCCATTGTAAGAGGATATTTGTAAAAATCCATTGAAAACAGTGAAGATAGACGGTATCGACGATTTAGTGAAGTTGATGAGTTTACCCAGGGTACCTTCGTATGTGTGAAGAGTTGGTGTTAGAAGACTATGGGGAGGATCCGTTGAGAGAGATTTGACTAGGATCCAGGTTGACCGCGCATTAACAGTCTCAAAGCTGCACAAGAAGTTTCTTCCCCGCACTAGAAGAATCCCGAACGGCCGTTAATTTGAAATTCTCGCTGGATTGGTTGCTCGACAAACCGACTTTTGTGGAAGTTTTTTCGGTGAACTTAAAGGGCAACTATTTGGCTTTCGTGCTGCCGAGTTTTGATTCGAGGGAAAGTATTTAAGTGTTGTTTTCGAGCGATTTTGGCGAGCATGTGTCAACAGAAGTTTCCGACCTTCCCTTATTTTATGCAAGTTAATTTAGAGCGTCAAGCTAAAACACATCAAACCGGCCTCAAATCGCGAGGAGAACAACACAGACTACTCTCTACGAGGGTAAGACCTTATTTCTTTGATTATTTCACACCACTTTACATTTACGGAGCTCAAAAGGAAGTCCAACTAAACCACTATACAAACTCTTTAATTATTCCCTGTGAAAGAGCCTGTGACAGAGCTTGGGCTACCTGTGCTGTACATAAAAACAATTTAAGTTTTTTATTTTATTTTATTTTGCATTCATGAACCAGTTATTAAATACTTTAGTTATGTATGTTATAGTGGAAACTTATTATTATTGTTTTTGTTTTTTTTTTCCCATGGATTTGGTTCCAATAATGATGTAGAACATTTTGTTAATGAAGAAGGCCTTTTATGAAACTACTTTGAAGAAGTGAAAGACAGCAAATGTTCTTACAGCACAATGGTTAATGACTAAAAGTGAATTATTTTTGCTTCAAGGCCGTTTGGGTCTCAAAAGGAAAGCAATGTTTTCTTCATGATGTAATGTCTATCGAAATGCTCAATTGTTCCCTTCAAACGGTGACTGCAAATTTTCATGATTTTTCCCACCTTGTCTATTTCAAGTATTTAAAGGTCAAACTACTTACAAGTGCTTAATACAATTTGAGTTTTTGGTTCCTATGATGTAAACAAAGGTTGATATTGATGCAATCAACCTATATCTGCTCTGATTTAGTTATACATGTGTGTTGTCAGACATAATTGTGCCTTAATTTTGAATTTTTATTTTTGAGGGAATTTGTGGCTAAATAAGTAAATGAAAAGAGAAACTGAGAATGTCTGTAGTCATAAGGGATGCATCTGTGACAGGTTATAGTGCCTCTTTCATCATGTGGAGCAATTAAAACACGTTTTGCAAATTAATCACTAATCAACCTAAAGTTGTTTTCAAAAACTTTGATGTGAACTAAACTCCCAGGAAAAAATTCCATTGAAATTATTCAAACTCATATTGGTCTTAGGGCATAAATTTTTGCTCTCTTTCAATTCATGGCATAATTCTAGAACTTTTGCAGCATTTGGGAATTGTTCATCTGAGACAAGTAATTGGCATGGCAGTATTTTAGAAGAACACCTGAATTTAGATAAATCTACCTGAAGGACTTTGAACCAATGTTGTTTGTGGTCATGACCCATATTGTACCCACTTTGTGTTCATTGATTGTTTGAAGTCTAAGAATTACAGACTTCATCTTTGCCGCTCTCTCTCTTGAAGTTAACAATCCTGTTTTCATTGAAAATTGAACTGAAAAACTATTTTTTTTTATAGCTGTATGCTTAAGTTTTATAGATTTGAATAAAATGTATATATGGTATTTTTGGAAAAATGGTAATTAAAGTTGCTAAAAATTTAAATGTCTTACATGTATTTGACCACTTGAATTTCACCAAATCAACCATCAATGTTCCAATAAAATCCCACAATATATTTTCTAATCCACCAGATAAATCATTATTAGCAGATGGTATATTGTAGTTTATTTCTTGAACACTTATCTTTCAAATGGTGTGTTTCCGCTAGATGGCAATATCTAGTTTTTATGGATAGCTGCTCTGTCAGTTACTGTAGGTGCACATAGTCACATTAAGCACCGAAAAATAAGTCTTTAAAATCAATCAATAAATCAATCAATCTTAAGTCACTTATGAACTAGCATTTTTTTAATTCATTTGTTAAGGTTCCACTCTTTATCTTATCCCAGTTCTTTAATCAGTAACAACCTTTAAAAAAGAATTCTCCACACAGTGAGGAAGAAAAGAAAAAAGGAACTGTTCTTATGAAGGGTTTAAATTGTGCATGTTGAAATAGAAATTTTACCTGATGTGCAAGTATATGTACATTTATTTGTGAAAAGTTGTATGGGTTGCATTGTTTGCTGTAATTTACAAGTTTACAGTAGCTCTCTCACTTACAAATTTTGAGTAATTCTTTCAACCAGTTATCACTAGATCTAAACAT